AATTAGTAATTGTAGGTTAAGGTTAATAATCATTGGTTATTTATTCGAAAATGAATATATTATTAGATCAATTGGAATATAGATAAACTAATTAATAATTAAATTAAATATGAAGCTTTTAAATTATAAAACTATTCTGATTATATATTAATTCATTTTGGGAGCTTTTAGAAGTCTACATTTCTAAAAGCTCTAAGGAATTTATAGAAGCCTATGTTTCTGAAGGCTTCATTATATAATTAGAATCAGATTATATATCCGAGCTTACTGAAGGTGGGGAGATTATACGAAGCAATTGCTATACAAATTTGTATACAAGTTGCTTTGCTTTTTAACAAGGTCAAAGCTTATAATGATAGGTTGATTGTTACCTCGTGACATTCTATAAAATGATTTTGTGATAATCAGTTTGTTTTTAATAATTGAAAATTAAAATATTTTATTTAAAAATAATAATTATTATTATTATTATTTTGAATTAAATAAGATGAATTGAATGAATAAAGTTGAATTGAATAAGTTGAATGATTTCAATTGAGTTGAGTTGAAAAAAGCTCTAAGTTAGATTTGTTTAAGATTATAAGGCTTATATCAAGCTTTTCGTTAGATTATTTACCGGGTATTTACCTGGGTATTTTAGACCAATCAGATTATCAGGATCGCGACTCATTTCTCAATCAATCATATTGCAACCTTAAACAAACCTCATTTTCTACGACCTACACCAGGTAAACCTTGTATACAACAAGGTTATAATATCGGCAAGCCGACAATAATAATTTATATAATAATTTATAAAATTTATTATAATTTTTGTTTTATATTTTTAACTTCATTTATTATTTTGATCAAGTTTAATATTTTATTTTCAAATCACTTTTAATTTGAATTATTTTCTTATATCAAAAATTATGATTTTGATCTATTATTAACTTTATAATAAATCAATATCATATAAACATGTTTTTTATCTTTAGAATTTTTAAAGTTTTTAATATTTTTATAATAGTCATAGAATTATGTATTTTTATATAGAGGTACAGGAGAGTTGAAGTAGAGAGAGGATATAGGAGATCCTCGGAAGAGAGACGGAAGAAAGTAGAGAGGAGAGGAGACAAGGGGACGGGATATCCATAGGGTGAATCTATAGTGAATGGATGAAAGTGGTGTTGGGTCTTATTACAGGGTTAGAGTAAGCAAGAATATTTGAGAAGTTTAGGAAGGAAAGAAGGGAGAACATTAGTCTGTATGGAAAAACTGGATTTGATAAGTACCAGACAGAGGAGCGAAAGGAAAGATGAAAAACGAGGATTTTGTATTATTGTTTTATATAATATTCAGAGATACATGTAGGAATGTGGGAAGGAATTCATAAGCAATAGATTTCCTTAGCGTTGTATACTTTGAAGTCTAAGAGATGAGATAAAATGACAACACAAATGTAGATACTGGATATCATATGTAATCATTCATGTATTATCATTTCTTTGTATCCTTTTGCCAAGTCTATTCCATCTAATTAATGCCTGAGTAAATTCTGATCAGCATTGGGCACAGTAATGTCTCAGCAAAATCAAAATAGCCCCACGGAATAAATATCAGTGCCCAAAAATGGATACTAAAAAGTTTGGTATCAGATTTAATTATATAGTAAAATTGAGCCAAGGGAGATATAGTTTTTAGCCAAACTTTGATTCAGCGAAAAGCAAAATTGAGTGTTACAGAGGAGAACTGGTGAATTGTTGAAAGCCTGTAGTCATTGACTTGGGCAGAAGAACATATGAGAAGATACTGAACCGATAAACCATAAAAGAAAGAACCTAAAAGTTACTGCTGTTGCATATTCAATGGTTATGCTGGCACGCACTTAGTCGCTGGAGATAGAGGAACATTTGTTGCGCGGCTAAATATCAGATACCCATGAAATGGCAAATCTGATGATACAGAGGAGTAAAAGATAGGATTTTTTGGGCACATTTGATGCCGTTTGCTCCCCTTGATTGATACCAAAGGGAAGACTCGTTATGAAAGAAACTTTCTTGAAATGTTTGATGAATAGTGTTACTGCCACTAATATATTTGCAAGGAAAAATAGAATTTGAGTACAAACTTCATGAAAATGGTTGCCTAGCACCACATGCTTAAACCCCTTATATACAGTATCAAATATATCCTGTCAAAAAAGAAGTAAAACCAAAATCAAAACTAGCATTTCAACAAGAGACTTCCCCTTTGGATTTCTAGTTGTAAATTATGTCTTGTGAGTCCTGCCCTGTCTATTGTCACCAAGCGAACACCATAAGTATGGGCACTACCTTATACTGGCAAGGATGAATGCTGGCTCTTTCTGTAAGCTAAAACCTCTAAAATCCTGTCATAAAGCAGGAAAACAGTGGTTAATTAACTACTAACTAGGAAGAGTAAACTATACATAAAAGTCCCAAGATAGAAGACGCAAAGCCAATTCACCATACTTATGGCAACTGACAGATTACCTCGGAAACATCAAATCTTAAAAGCTTCATACATTTGTAGGAATAAATTGATGCTGCTCCGGTAGTAAATTGAAGCTAAGCGGTAGGTCTCTGTGCATCAAAAACGTGTGCTGTCTGGATACTACACCGCTGATATCCAAAGTATCTGTGGCGGTATTGGCCGAGTAAAAGCAGACAAACCCTCTCTTGGATGATTTCACTCAGATGAAAGAAGTCATGGGAGTGGTCATAATTTTAGAAGCCGGGGAAATATAATGACAATGGGTTTGGTCGGGACTCGGCAAAGGCTATGCAGGGCCCGATAAGTCTCCGGAGAAGATTTCTCGGGAAAAGCTAACCAGTTGTTATCAGACATAGCGGGGTAATGTGAGCTGATGAATGCATGTGATTTGCGAGAGTGTGATCGCTCGGAACAAAGCGAAGGCGAGAGCAGAAAGCATATGAAATTGAGGGGATTCCCATGTGTGGAGTATCTCAAATTTCAAGGTGGCTTAAAACTAGGATATATGATTCGTCGCAGAAGTTTAGGTGGACACTGGGTTAAAGGGCTTTGCTGCGGCTGGGCTATCGATGAGATGCTATTCGTAGGTGGGTCTCAAGTCTGCGTAGGTTGGTAGAAATGGGCTCGCGAGCAAACTGGCGGACAAAGGAATAAGAAGAGTACGAGGGCGCATGAGTAGGAAACGATATTCTCTCAGGTACATAAATGTCATGTAGGTTGTTGTTGGCGATTAGCTGCGTTTAAGGTTTGATTCGTCAAACATCAAAATAGGAGTAGTGGGATGGGCCAAAACTAGTATGGCCGACTCTGAAAGAAGACTAATCATGACTATCGTTAAGGTACGGGCGGGACCAATATCATGATACCTTCAATGACCCGAGCTAGACCACTGCAAAAGATCTTGAGGTCTTGACCGATAGTGCAACTTTTAGTATCAGTGCGGTTATCGTTCTTGATATTGTAGTCGCCCTCTACGTAAAGGTTGTCGTATTCTAATGTGGATTTAGAGAGGAGACATGTAGTGTGCGTGCCTGTCTCGAATCTTGGATGGGTAAGTGGAGGGAGGATCATTGTGTATGTTCCACATATACAATAACTAATATATGCAATAGCTGCGGTGGCTCGTATATTCGTACTGAGTAGACAGACGTTGAGTAGGTATGAGGTATGGCATTCGGTTCAGGAGTTTGTCTTTAATAAAAAGGTTGAGAGCAGATCTACTCCAAGGTTATAAGACGCAGAAACATGAAAGCAGCGTTGAAAAGAAGCATGAAGCATTGGGTTTTGGAAAAGTGACAGCATAAGCGCTTGAATGACTTATTATTCTCAAAGGGCTGGTCGGCGTGGAGGGGTTTTGTGCAACCCTCGATTGGCAATTTCCAAGAAGTAACCTTGACACAAATGTTTGACGGGAAAGAAAAAAGAAAAGAAAAGAAAAGAAAAGGAAAATAAAATAAAATAAAATAAAATAAAATAAAATAAAAAGGATTATGAGTGTACATGATATGGTGAGACTCTGCATGCGGAAAGAAAGAGTTGGTGTTTGAACTTTGCTCATATCGTTATGTCGCTGTTGATCTTTTGGATCCTTCATCATTTATTGGACCTTTGTGTAAATATTGCGTGAGGCCATACATAACCTTAACTACTTACCTAGGTAACCTTTACTTGGTGCCATGCAGTCACTTATTGGGCCCTTGTCACATCTATATCCATATCCTCTCGAATTGACGATTGATTGATTGATTGATACTCTGAATCAGTTCTCTCTCTTTCTTGCTATACTGTGTATATTCATAAATGCATGATTTTGAATGACAGCATTCATGTTTGCCATGATAAAATGTCCCAATCTCTAATCACAATCGCACGCATTCCACAAATATAATAAGCAAGCCATTGATTGATCCGTTGTTTCTCTAGAAGTGCAATCAATCATTTCAACATTCAACGTTCAACATTCAACCAGTACCAGTACCAGTACCAGGAGCAGGAGCAGGAGCAGGAGCAGGAGCAGGACCAGTACCAGTACCAGTACCAGTACCAGCACCCAGTACCAAGCAAGGCACAAATCTAAAACGATCCTCCAACTTTCTCCCTCCTCTCTCCTCTCTCTCCTCTCCTCTCTCCAATTTAAATCTCACCCACCCCTTTACCTTTCTACCCCTTCACTCTTCCCACTTTCTCACCTCAAACAACAATACGCACGCATCAGTGTACCATCTGTGAAGAGAAGAAACCATCTGCAAAAGCCGGGTATTTGTATGACTTTGAACAACCTCCAAAAGTTTACTTCGACATAAAATCAAAGCGATAAGATAAATTTATACCAAAACGAAATTAAAAGAGAGAGAAATACGGATCACGGACATAATACAGGAAAACTTAAATTTTCTCTCCTCTTTCTGGTTCTCATAATTTTTTCCCTGTTCCTGGCTCCACTACTGCTGCTTTGTACGGCTTGTTCTCGAACCTTTGACCTTTTTTTAAGGCGATAAACGAAGAGGCGCGCTTGTGTTGAAAATACAAGAGAAATACAAGAGAAATCCGACAAGCCCGTAACAACTTCATCCCTCGACTGGACAACCACGAAACTTCTTTGAGCCGACCAAAGACAACTCTGCGATACTTCATCTACGAAGCCTAAGACGATATTATCGTGTTCTTCGCGATACAACCGGCGGTTTAATAAATAAAAAAGACGGGTGAATAATCATAACAAATCACTCTCTTTTCTCATATACCTGTTTACTCAGAGTCTGTTCAGCTTAAAGTTGGTGACTTTTTTTGAGCACAATTTATTAACCACCACCACCACCACTACAAAATCACGACATCAAGAAGAAGACTCCTTCAAGGCCAAGTTGAACAACGTGGTTTTCATCACAGAAATCCATTGAGGCCAAATTCAACTTCATTGTAAGTTATTCAAACTGGGCCGAAACCCTACCGATTCTTGTTGAGCTTGATAGCTTCAACATAATTCCAAGCCTCTCCTCGAGTATTTGCATCAACCTTTTCCCGCTTTAGACTAATTTATTACGCACGGCAGACTGAGAGGTGAAGTGAATCAAGCCCTAGCGTAAATACGTCTACGATCTTAATCTACTGTCTTCTGACATCCACCTGCTGCGGATTACATCACAACACCCCCCGGTCAAATTCTCCTGAAGGAGGACAAAGCGATGGCAGAACAAGACGTCGATCTCGACTCTATCATTGATAGACTGCTAGAAGTTAGAGGCAGCAGACCAGGCAAACAAGTACAGCTTTTGGAACAAGAGATTCGTTATCTCTGCACCAAGGCTCGCGAAATTTTCATCTCTCAACCCATCCTCTTAGAGCTTGAGGCACCAATCAAGGTACGATATTGAGCATTTGATTTTCTAGATGCGCCAGGCTGGCAAAGCAAATACTGACTAGATGGCGTGTATCTAGATTTGTGGTGATATTCATGGCCAATATTATGATCTCCTCCGTTTGTTTGAATATGGTGGATTTCCTCCCGAGGCAAACTACCTCTTCCTTGGTGATTATGTCGATAGAGGCAAACAATCTCTCGAGACTATCTGTTTGCTCTTAGCATACAAGATCAAATACCCAGAAAACTTCTTTATCCTTCGCGGTAACCACGAGTGTGCCTCCATCAACAGAATCTATGGCTTTTACGACGAGTGCAAGAGAAGATATAATATTAAGCTATGGAAAACATTCACTGATTGCTTCAACTGCCTCCCCATTGCAGCGATCATCGATGAAAAGATCTTCACTATGCACGGCGGTTTAAGTCCAGATTTGAACTCCATGGAGCAAATCCGTCGTGTCATGCGACCAACTGATGTAAGTCCACCAGGAAAAGCTTTTCATTTGCCAGCTCTCAGTGTGCCATGGGAGGAAGGCCAGAGCTCTTACTGATATGAAATTAGATTCCTGATTGCGGTCTCCTTTGCGATCTCCTCTGGTCCGACCCGGATAAGGATATCACAGGCTGGAGCGAAAACGATCGTGGTGTATCCTTCACATTCGGTCCCGATGTCGTTTCTAGGTTCTTACAAAAGCATGATATGGATTTGATATGCAGAGCTCATCAGGTCGTCGAAGATGGTTATGAGTTCTTCTCAAAGCGGCAATTGGTTACACTATTCAGTGCACCCAATTACTGCGGAGAGTTTGACAATGCCGGAGCGATGATGAGCGTGGATGAGAGTTTGCTATGTTCATTCCAGGTAGGTTCAATTACAATTTCCTCATCATATGAGTGTCTTACTAATGTTCCTCTTCCAGATTTTAAAACCAGCGGAGAAAAAACAAAAGTACGTCACAGCAGGTGGTCTTGGTGCCTCCAGCAGGCCCGTCACTCCGAGGAAGAAATAAAAAATGATCAATTACGAACTTCCTTTTGTGTAGCAGGTTCGGACGCAGATAAGCTTAATTCGCGATTTTCCACGCAAACGAATATTGCCCTCGACCAAAAATGCGCCCTTTCACCGATCGCTTCTCTTTGGGATCCGTCATCTCACCAGACTTTTGCCAGTATCCTCCAGACTTCGATCTCGACCAAACATACCTATTTTGTGCGACACCTTCCGCACCCTACCTTTCGTTTCCTTACTTACCTCATTGCCAAACGCGACTCAAATATGTACACAGCAACTTTCTCATTACGCTTTTCGATCACTAACACTAAGGATTCCACTCGATACGTACGCTTTTCCCACGACTTTTCGGCCGAACACGAACTCTTGCTTTAGATTGACATGCCAGCATTTCACGACATGACGATAGATACATGGGACGTTTTTCGGGCGAGTTTTCGGTTTTCGGGTATTGGCATTCGGATTTTGGTATCTGGTTTTAATAGAAAGGCAGAAGGAGAAATTTTCAGGAGGAGGTTCATAATAGCCAACTCTTAATATTTGTGTTCATACATTGGAGAAAGGGGCATTGAATGTGCCAGGCAGGCAGATAAAGAAGGGAATGGGAAGGAGGGGTGTCCATGGGTTGAGCGCAGAAAGCAGAAAAATAACTCAACGATGCGAATTGTACCTTTGTTCTATGTAACTGACCTCTTTCTTCTACTACACTTCATTGGCTCTTTTACTAGATGAGCAGCTACCTTGATGATTTGATTTGATATGTGAATTATGCGTGATGGAGTTTTTTTGCATGGGACTAGAATGGCAACCGGGAGTTTGATATGAATGAGAGAGTAGAGATGAGGTTCCCTCGAGTATCATCTTTTTATATATATCTGCAGGCTGAATGAAGTTTTCACCCACATCATCTAGCTTCCTCCTAAGCTCGTAGTTCCAAGTTTCTAGTTTCCAGTTTCTTTTTTTTCACTTTGCTGCTTCGCGTGCATTGTAGACTGTAGACTGTAGACTTTCACCTATTGCGATTGTCATTGCCATTGCTTTGTTTCCTTGTGTTTATATGTGTAAGTATGTATGTGTCCGACGTGCGTATATAGTGTAAAAGTAGTAGATCGAGATACGTGCGTCTCGATAGCACGTTGTGAGGGGGAATTGGAGGAGAAAGCTGATTAGATCACATCGTAATACGTCATTTATGGAGAAAACGGGGTTCATAATGGTTTTGGGGTTGAGGTTATATAGGTTCAAATGTATATATATATATATATAGAAGGTTGATTATTGTGGGAAGGAGAGACAAAAACCCTCGTTTTATATCTAATTACAGGAGGTCACATGATTGACTAGTTAGAAACTCCTATGTATTTGGCCTATAATGGATGGGATGGATGGGATGGATGGAATGGATGGATCTTAGTATCCATCCATCAGGCCAGGCCAGTTCTGTGTTATGTTATGTTATATTATATTATGTTGTCTTGAGAGGTCTTTAATTAGCAATCTTGATACTTCGTATCATCATCATCATCATTAATCTATCTATCTATCTATCTATCTTCCTCCTTTATAGGCGGAGATTTTCTTACTAAGATTATCATCCACCTATTCGCTATCCCTATCCCTCTCCCTCCTCCTCCTCCTCAGCATCCCACACCCCCTCCAAATCAACATGAACTCTTATTTCCTTTTCCCCCATTACCCTCCATACATTTTTCAACTGTGCGGTTATTTCACTATCAATTTTTGGTTTTTTCCCCCTTCCGTTTGCCTTTACCCTATTCACATTTTTCTCCCCATCCTCGTTTTCATACTCATACTCATATTCATCTTGGCAATATATCTCACATATCCTTTCGAAACCAAATGTGTAAATTGATTTAAGCCAGGGAAGTCGCGAGATTGCTTGTTTCCATAGTTCTAGTGTTCCTTTTGCTTTTTGCTTCTGGGCTTTAGCTTCATTATTCTGCATTCCGTTGCTAGATTGGAGAATTAGGGCTTTTGAAGATGATGAGGAGGAGGATGCTGAAAGAGGTAGGAATTGTGGATATGTATCACAAAATAATAAATACAATTTCCAAAGTGAGCTTGAACTCGCTAGTTCAGTGTTTAAAGTAGGTGAAGATTTAGAACACTTTAGATTTAATGCAGAGACGAATGTGGAATTAACCTTATTGAGATTCGGGGTAGCGGACTGTACGTGTTGGAGGTGATGATGGATGATGTGGAGGTAGAGGGGTAGTGGATTATGCGTTGAAGATGAATCTAGAAGTTCGGAGAATAAATTACTCAGGGTGACTGGACTCATGAGTCTGGTTGTACCGAAAGCCGGCGAAGTGAGGAGAGAGAAGAATACTGTGTTGCTGGGAAATAAACGTAAGGAGGCTGTAAGTTGTGAGTGGAGGGTCTGGGGACGATAAGGTCCGGATTTTGCGTGGTGGTGTAAGAGACGGGCCATGGATTGGTGGATGAGGGCAAGAGTATAGCTTGATGGTAAGTTTGAGGCTATTCGGGAAGAAAGCTGGTCGGAAAAGGTAGTGAGGATTTCGAGGGCGGATGCGATGTTTCCTTGTTGAGGTGATTGAGGGGCTGATGGGGAGGTGGTGGTTAGGTATTTGAGGAGAGCAAGAAGTTCGGTGTAGAGAGCTGCGTATGTGGGATGGCGCGTGGTGACGAAATGGTCCCGGTTTGACGACAGATGTTGTTGACTTTTGAGGAGGGCTGCAGGAGTTATTTCGACAAGACTTGTTAGGTTTGGAATACCGTGTGGGATTGAGAGCAGATGTGATAATGCCGTTTCTTTGGACCCGACTGAGAGATGTGCCCAGACTAGACTTTTCCAGAGGTGAATTGAATCCTTGTTGTCGTTGGACTCGGGCGAGGAGGGCATAGATTTACTCATTCCTAAAGCGGCCATGTAAATTCCATTTGAGATTTCTTGGTTGCCTTTTGACCATTCGATCATAGCGTATGCATTGTAGAGTTTGAGACTGGAAGAATGTTGTTTGATGAGACTTTTGGCGACTTTTTTGATAGTGCTGGGTTCATTTATCCATTCAAATGCCAAGTAGTACTCTGCAAAATCTTCTGTTGGATATGATTGTGTGAGTTGTTTCAAAGTGTTGCGAACCCAAATACAAGGAATAGGTCCATTATCCTCGTTGCCATATACTTCTCGCCATGGCTTGAAGCTGCTGAACCAACTTTTGCTGAACATAGATTCTTGTGCCATCGCCAAGTTTGTTGTAGGAGCTGTGAAGATCGATGGCATTTCGGTTTTTTCACCCTCGATCGAGTCCTCACTAGGCTTTTTGAAGTATTTTCCTTTAATCCACTCCGAATCGTAATCGAGCATTTCATTGTGCAGAAAGAAATCATGGCTCCAATCCACACCCGATTCGTGGTTCTGAAAAGGCATAGGAGGTAAATGACAGAATATTAAGAATGCATTCAAAAGGGTTCTTCGTAAGTACTCAGCAGATTTTGGTAGTAAAATGAGAAAATTCTCGATATCAGTGAATAGGATGACTCTAAAAGGATCGTCCTCCACAGTATCATCCATGGTTCTGGCAGGAATTCTAGAAGCTTTTATACGAGAAGATTCTGCCATAACCCAGCTTTTGAAGAGGTCTTGGCCATTAAGTGACATCTCTGGTTCGTCAGTCTGGGCATTGGGGACTGTTGAGTCATCCCCAGTCTCTGCAAAGCTTTTCCAACCTAGAGAACCTAATTCCCCAATCCGTGGGACCTCTGCCTCCCAAAACTCTCCAAACAGTTCAAGTATTTTATTTCCCGCCAGTGCTGATGTTTCATATTCGGCGTGGATTGATTCTGGTCCTTGGAAATTCATCTCCAAAATAGCTTGCCAGGTTGCCACCGCTAGTTCTGTAAAACCGGATTCGCGGATGAAAAGTGTAGCCCTTAGAACCACATATAACAGTTGTTCGTAGAGTGATCCAACGGAGGTCCACCTAGATGCGACGCTGATACTAATTTTCAAAGAACGAATTCTGTCGATGAATAATCCACGAACTTCCTCATACCTAAATGTTGAAAAGTTGCTTTCCCTGAAATCCAAGTATCTTTTCCACAAGACAAGGCTATCAATGTTGTCTTTTGCAATCTGTTCCCACCGCTCCGCTTGTACCTTGATTTCCCATATCTTTGAGCCCTCTGCCATCAAGCCTAGTAATAGCCGTTCACGGGCTGGTAAGTATTGTATATTTTCCAGAGCTTTTTCATACATATGGATTTTGATATCCGCTGTGCTCCTGATCTCTGCATTAGTGATACGACGATGGCCATCTTCTGCTTTCAGAAGTGTGTCTTGATGCGCAATTAAAGCAAGCCACGCTTCTACATCACCTGGAGCTTGTTCTATTCTTCGAGAAAGCTCCATGTTCTTTTGCTTAATTGAGGATTCAAGTCTCATAGTTCGACCAGCGTCTGATCCTGACGAATCACTGTCCGAAGCATATTGAAAAGCGTCATCCTGAGGTTGAGTGGATATTTTTGCCTTTCCTTGTATTGAACGGTAATGGGTGTCATCATGATCAGAATCAGACTTTGAGCCAGGCTCTCGGTCCACTCTTTTCCGTTTTTTGCCTCTGCTAATCTGAAATGGAACATAATCTTTATCGTGCAAGAAAGACTCCCCGGCCAGGGCTTCTGGGCGCATCTTCAAAAGACGAGGTCTATCTCTCTCAACTTTGGAAAAAATGTACTTCTCCCGATTGTTGGATCTGAATTCTGTCAGATTGGTAAGTACAATACCCTTATCATCTGAATATTCTCTGTCGATTTTTGTGTCTCGGGGCGCACCAAGGATACGACCTGCTCCAATTCGATGAAATAGCGGAACACTGTACCGGTAGTTGCTTCCATACACTAGGTTTTTAACATCTCCTTTTCTGTCAACAACATAAATGTCAGATGCTACAACGGACTCCGAAACATCTGGCTGGCATTTCGTTGGCTCCTCTTTTGAGTCTCTTTGAACTTTTCCCTCATGCACAGGTCGACGACTAGTCCGGCGATCATCTCTGCTCCGAGATCTACGATGCGAGCCATGTCTTTCACTGTTTTCCTTCTCCCTGATCCTGTGCCTCTCTCGACTCCGTGATCTGTGGCGTGAATCACGTGTATTTGTGTTTTCCTTACTCCTAGACCTGTGTTTCTCTCTACTTCTGGATCTATGATGCCGATGATGATGCCTTGGATGATCTCTTTCCTGGGTATGTTGTTTACCTCTTGTCGCTAGTTTTTGTTCATCCTCCTGTTCGAGGTTGGCAGCTGTGCTAGAGGTTTTTGACCGAAAAGATGCGAACTTGGGAACAGGAGGTCTTGCTTCTGTCATTATTACTAGCACAACTTTAATTCATGATATTATTCCCAGAAACTTCGATAATGTGTCCTTTGATGAAAGTTGGGTCAGTCTATCATAACCATATATATAGCATGGTTTAATTCATTTAGAAGACATCGATTCCAAAGCTTCGGCTTTTAACTTTAAAGCAGCAGGGTCATCGGGCCGCAGGTTTATCCGTCCAAATTATTTTTTTCGATAACGATAGAGCTTGAAATTTCTATTGAGAAGTTTGAAGTGAGCATCAAGAAATATTATTCTTGGACTTCGATATGCCATAATTTTGTAGCATTGTGGTATCGAGAATTACATAATGGCATCTTCACTTAAAGCACAGTTGGCGCAGATTGCGACCAATTCG